AGAGATGGTTCTATTTGAATGTTTTTCTGCAGCCCATGTATTCTTTGCTCAATTTTATATCAAGGATGCCAAAGGCACCATCTAGTTTGGGTAGGCTAGCATTACCTGTGCAGTAGGCAACCGACAGCTCTTCATGTATATTTTCTTCAAAAATTTGATGAGAGCAACAGTCCAAGAATAAACAGCTTGGTGAGGACATATGTCCCAAGACATCCCAGACCATTCACAATCAAGAAAAGAGACCTAATAGATAGAAACTGAAGAACAAATCATTGTTTTTTTCCTTCCAGAGAGTTCTATCAAAATAGATAAGATGTTTCTTCAGCATCTAAGTGAAGAAAACCAGAGAATAAATGTTTTCACATTTCTCAGTGTTTTTTCTACACTTTTGGATTCTGAGGGAGGGATTTTCTTTGGCTTAAAGTATCGATACAATGCCTGTACTGTCCAAAATAATTTTGTGTCCCTTTCCTGAAATATGCTCCTGAAACAGAAAGGAGGTGTTGAGACGCCAGCCCTTTCCTGTGAGTTGGTACCATTTGTGGATTGCAGGGGAGAAGAAGCCAAAAAGAAGCCAAGCCCTTTCCTGCAAGCTGGCACCATGCACAGGCTGTCAGAAGGAGAACTAGACACCCAACCCCTCTGGTGTGTGGGCTGAGACAAAAAGAGCTGACACCCCTTCCCATAAGCAACCAGCTGATCCAGAAATGCTGGCTAAGAAGATAACTATCGAGTTAAGACACAGCTTAATGCTTGTAGTGTTTAGTGTTTCACTGAATCTTTGGCCTAAAGCTGGTAGTCTAATCATCTATTCAGAATATAACAATATGCAATGTAGCAGCTATGGGCATCTCCTTCTGAAGGTGGTAGCAATTATTAATTCCCTATTATTTTGTTTTGAAGTCCTATATCATTTTCATTGTTTTTTTGGTTAGATTTTATTGTTTTATTGTGTTTAATTTTATTATAGCACAGGCTACTGTTTCAAAGATAACAAGATACATTTTATGGTAGCCATTTTGGATTTACTATTATCTTGTTTTGAAGTCCTGTGTCACATTCGTTGTTTTGTTTTTATTGGCTCTATTCTGTTCTATTTTGTTTGATTTTACTATGTCTAAGGGTATAGGCAGCTATTTTGAAGACAACAAGAAGCATTATGGTAACCATTGTTCATTTCCTGTTATCTTGTTTTGAAATCCTGTTACACTGTTTTATTTGGCTTTATTCTGTTCTATTTTGCTTGGTTTTATTCACCTTAATATAAAAATTACAATAATAAAGAGGAGTTGATATACAAACTCTTATTTCTACCTATTGTTTCACCAAATCTGAATGTTTTTGTTGAAATGGAAACTAATGAGTAGTATCTATCTTCTGTCATTGGAACAAACACAAATGATTGGGTCCCAGTTGGCTCACTAGATCAGAATCTGTATTTTGACCAGCACCTAACTGAACAAACCCATGGCTGCTATGGTCTCGTTCATCTCCTTTGCCTTTAATATGTTCACTTTGCCCTTTGCTATTACTCACTAAAATAGATTTAGATCAGTTCATTTGAAAAGTTTTAGTAAGCCTAACAGTAAATATCAAGTCTGATGCATTTACAAAGAAAACCCACAACTGCCTTGAAAATCCACTGGATCCTTATATCACCCACCCATACTACCTCTCAGCTGTGGGTCTGGGGTTAGTGTTCTCAGCTGCCGCTGGGCCCAGTGGAAGAATGGACAAATTTGGGACCCTAGGAAACCAAGCAAGCAGCTCACCCCCCGGCAGCAGCTGCGGTGTGGCAGACTGCAGCCCTTCCAGGGAGAGGACCACCAGTGTCTTCTGAGATCCACACCGTGTTGGAACTTAGGACACTGGGAAACCAAGCAACCAGCATGCCTCCCTGCTAAGCAATAGTGAACCTACTGGTGCACGGCCTAGAGTCAAACATCCCACTTCCCCTATCCCCTTCTCCTGCCTCTCCCCCCGTTAGCAAATGGGAACCAGAAATCTGAGCATCTCTTGGGAAATTGACCACAGCAAATAAGGGGGATGTCCTTCTACCATCTCATTGAAAGCAAATATTTTTATTACTGTTTTGCTTTATTCTGATTAATGGTACTGCTCTGTTCCATATTCTGATTTGATAAGTTCTATAATGTTCTGTATTTCATTTTATTTTGATATATGTGATTGAAAGAACAACTATTGTAAAGATAACGAAATATACTGTGATACCTATCACTGTTATCCCGGTAACCTGCTGTGAAGTTCTGTACCGATATCAAAAAATAATGGACAAATTTGTGGTCTCTTTTTTCTGGGAACCCCTATTTTTTACTTATTTGTTTATTCATTCATTCATTTATAAGCAGGTTCTCTTTCTGTACCCATGTTGGCCTCAAATTCAGCATGATCCTCCTGCTGCAGCCTCTCAAGTGCCAGGATTACAAGTGTACAGATCTCCCTCTGGGTACCATGACACAGCCCTGTTACTGCCAAAATTTACCCTTCTCCCCCTCTATTATGCCAAGCTTTAACAGAAGTTAGTTTCACTGAAGCTCAGGAAGATGATAAGACATTATGTGTGGATATAGGACTGGTTGATCTAGCCTTCAACATATTAAAGGCCTTTTGTTCTCTAAAAGACCCTTTTCTCTAGCAGATGTGTGCCGAGGCCCCTTTTCACCAGCTCCTGCTTCCTCAGTTCTCATCTGCACAGCCTCCCTTCCCTGCCCCTCTGCTCTCACTCTGCTGTAGCCACGGCCCCAGGACACAGTTTTCTCTTATGAATGTAATTCTAGTGAAATTACCTAATGATCCTGGATCTGCTATCACTGATATCACTACAAAATCTACTGAGAGAAACAATTGCAGTATATTTTTCTTTTTTTGAACTGACAAGTTAATTCAGCAAAATTGCAAGATATAAAGTCAACTTACAGAAATCAATAGCATTTTTATAATAAACTTTGTGAAAAAAATCATGAAAGCAATTCTATTCAAAATAGCTATAACAAATAAAATACAGGAATAAATGTAATGAAGGGAGCAAATGATCTTTAAATGAAAATCCCAATACACTGACAAAATAAAGAAATGAAAATAAAGGAAATGATATTCCTTGCTCATGTTCTATGAAGAACTAGTAATGTCAAAATGTTCATTCTACCCAAAGCGATTCACAGATTCCAAACCATCTCCATCAAAATACATTTCACAAAACTAGGAAAAAACATCTTGAAATTCACATAAAAGTACAAATGACCCTCAAAGGCCCAAACCATCAAGCAACAAAGGAATAAAGCTAGACACATCACACTATCTTATTTTTGCCCATTTTTCATTGGCTATCACCAAAGAATACAATGAACTATGAAAAGTCACATGAAGGACACATTTTTTTACTTTTCAAAGTTCTAAAAAGTATCATTTTATTACCACTATGTAATGAGATAGATACCAAATGATTGCACCTAATAGGAATAAAAAGAAAGATACTCTGTCATTTAGTTACTGCTAAGAGTTAAAACCATAAAGTAGATCCAATTCTCTCTGTCTCTCTCTCTCTCTCTCTCTCTCTCTCTCTCTCTCTCTCTCTCTCTCTCTCGGTGGGTACAAGGAATTGAACTCAGGACCTTGCACTTGCCAGCAAGGCACACTGTGCTGTTGAGCTATATTCCTGATCCTAGATCCAATTCTCAATCCTGTACAATGTGTTCCTTCCCAAGCCTCCATGTATTTTGTCTCACAGGGTGTCACTTCTCATTGATACTCTTTGGTTCAAACGAATTTTGGAAATGCTAACGAGGTGACCAGACTGCTGGGCCCTCTAAGGTACACCATTAATTTCCAAGAGAACTTTCAAGAAAATTATATTTTGAGCAGGCATCATAAATATAAAACTCTGTGGGCATCAGTCAGGAATACAAGGGAAAGCAAGCAGTGAAATGGGCTCCAGCTACTAGAGTCCTGGCCACTTTCAGAATGCAACCCACACTTGACAAGCCTTTTTAGAGTATTTCCAAATCTGGGCTTCTATTTTAAAGCTTCACATTTAAGTAAGTTGCCTCAAATTTCAGAAAAAGAAAACATTGCTACCACAATGAGAGCGGCTGTGAACTTCAAATGTCAATTAGTTCAGGATTTATTCAAATTGAAATTGAAATGGATACCCAACCCTGTTTATTGTGTGTGTAGAAATGCTTCTCTTCTGACAGTACTAGCACCTTGTAAATCAACAATTTTAAAGAATCATACCTGGGACTGAAGCTGTCTTTACAACAGTTTTTTTTTTTTTGTTTTTTTTGTTTTTTTTTTTTTTAACTTTCTCAGAAACACCAACAATTTACTTAAATAGCAAAAAAAAAAAAAAAAAAAAAAAACAGTACTGGTACTGATTAGGCACCAAAAAAAACCTTCAGAAATAATTTTAAATCTAAAATTTGGGGGAAAATTTAGAATTTTGGTTCAAACCAGTGACAACAATATAAATACTACTATATAGAGAGTAGAAATCTTGTAAGTTAGAAAATCTTTTTCCCAATTCCTCCCCTCTTCCCCCCATCCATTGTTGCCCTGTCTCATTGTAAAAGTTATTTCAGAGAGGCTGGCGCTGTCCATAGACATAGGCATGGCACAGGGTTGCTATCACACACAGCATAAGTGTGATAAGCCGGGTGGCAAGTGACTGTCTTCCCTGGTGCCTGCTTGGATTCTACTCAGCACTGTAACTTCATCTGACAGCTGAACTAGCCACCTGGATCCAGGGATCACAGACCTATGACAAAACATATACACCAAAGTGACAAAAGAGCACTCGCTTCTACTTCATATGGGAAATAAAATCCTGCAAACTCACGTGCTTCACACTTAAGGAACATATGAAATGTCATTTTGGAAGTTAAAATATAAAAGCAAGAGATAATTATGAAATACTCCCAAATGAAGTCTCAAATTGGATATTTTAATTTTTATATCCTATTATTCATGACAGTGGTGCTAGGTTCATTTGCTATGCCACCCCTTATTACTTTCTTTGATGGGTAGAAGAAACATAGAGTCCAAAGAACACAAAACCCTGAGGGGTTCATGTCTGACCACGATCTCCACAGTGTATGGAAAGACTGGGCTGCATTAACAATGAACATGACTATACAGCTTTGACTCCAAGAGTTCCCTTATCCAACAGCACTGATCCGTGGGAATGACAGATAAAACTGATGCCGAGAGATGGTCCTGAGGGTGAAAAGGTGATGGACATGGTGATTCCAGGCAGAGAATACCGCTGAGTCTTAATCAAGGTTATAAACATTATCCTTCACGATGTAGACTTGGTCTTCTACCGGATCTTGCAGTTGAAAAGCTTGAATTTGAGGACGGGTCCACAAAACCTTGCTGCAGAAAGAGTTGTTAAAGGATTGCATGAGTACGAGAAAGGTAGATGACTTCTAAATTGTGCGCCGTGCTTGAATTTAAAATCCAGCAAGTTTGGCTATTTGTGATTTCCAGGAGCCCTGTTCACACAAAAGGAAAAAACAATGCACCTTTTTGTATGTGAAAAGTGTGGTCCTTGGTGTTAAACTGCAGAAGTGTCCGATTTATACATGAAGAGACTGTGGTGGTGAACACCTGTAATTTCAGCTAGAAGGAGGACCATAAATTTGAGTCTATCCTCGGTTACTTGGTGACTTTGTGAGACTCTATCTAAAAATAAAATAAGGTCTGGGAATGTAGATCAGTGAGAAAACCCTGAGCTCAATCCCTAGCACAAAAAAAATTAAAAACTCAGAATAGTGTCCTTCAATACTCACAGAATAGCACAAAAATAAGAACTCTAAAAAGACACATATCTAGTGTCAAACTGAGTTTCTAATTTTCAAATATGGCTACAAATGAGATAACCCAACTTTTCACAACTATGAATTCTGACTTTTAGAGAGGGTTATTAAATCAGTTCAGGGATTCATATCTTGTAAGATAAATACAGAAGAATATTGCAGGCAGCAAGAGAGTACTGTTTCACCAGTTTGTACTGGATCATGGTGCCAAAACCTTGCTTATGGTTGCACCTCAAAAGGTCTGGGATAGAAAATGTTTAAAACACTAATATTAATAAACAACACTGAAGATGAAAGGACTAGCTTTTCAGAAAGAGCTTTGGTGTTTTCTGTGCCTTCTTTTCATATCAGTCGTGGGAGGTACCAAGTGAAAGGGCTTGGAGTTCATGCTGCACCCCTGGTATTTGGGATCCTGCCTGAGGACCACTGGCTGAGGTGCACAGAAATCAAGGAGGGGCCCATCAGGGAAGAAAGCAGACTGAACTTTCACTCATGTCTGGTGCTGTGATGGGACTGTATAACAGTGCCTACTGCTAACTTGAAAATGTAGAACTTGGGCCGGGAGTTTAGCTCAGTGGTGTGAGTGTCTGCTTGGCAAGCATGAAATTGTGAGTTCAATCCCTGGTACCAGAAAAGAAAGAAAGAAAATATAGATCTTGGGTCCTAAATCAGGCACAGATAAGGAATGTCTTGTCACTCCCTAGATTTAAAAGAACACACAGATGAGATATCTCTAAGGTTCTGTATCTGTCACCACGTGATAAAAAGTTCAAATCTCAAGAAACTCAACTCTGTTCAACTTCCAAAAATAAAATGTCATCAGGAAATGTTCATTATATGTAAGCTGGGATTCTCTTTTGCTTTTTATACATTACATTTTCTGCAATAGTTACACAGTAATAATAATGAGCCCCAAAAAGATAGTCAACAATGTAAGATTACAAATGAAATGACTCAAAGAATGCGATGGTCCATCATTTTCTACCTGTGTGGAGCATTTCCTTTCCATGTCCAGAGCAGTTTATGAAAAATATTTACAAGCATGGGTTCCTGAGGGTTGGCTCTTTACAGACTGTGTGGCAGGACCTGGGATGTATTTGTGAATATCTGAATCTGCGTTCTGATTTGTAAAATGAGAATATTAAAGGCCCACCTCACAGGTTTAATGATGTGAAGGCCTAATTGCAATAATAAAGGCACAATGTGATGGGCACTTACAGTGTGTTGGACAGTGTTCAAGGCACATCCTGTGGATTGGCCCATGGAACACAGACACAGACAGACCTACATAGAGACATCTACAAACAGTGGCCTAGTCATGTGGATTTGGAATAAAAAAATATGACCTTGCATAAAGACCACCTGAGGTGAATGAAGCAGGACATTTGGCTTTCTAGTGGGGCAGATAATTGCATGGCATTGATGCAATCAATGCAATTAAGCTTCACAAGTATAGTAAGTATCTATAAAGCCAGACAAACCATGGCAATGAGTAGAGTGAGCTGGCTCTGGGGCAGCGTGGAGTGGAGGAGCCTGCATAAGTGGAAGCCCTGGCCCTGCCTCACAGCCTCTGCACTTCCTGCCCCTTCAGCCAGGAATGAGCTTCCTTCAAATCTGCTCAGGGGAGCTCATATAGCCTGTGTTTCTCATGGTGTTCATAAAGAAACACAGGGATCTTGTTCATTTGTTTATATGTTTTCTGCTTTCTAAATCAGATTTGAATGAAATAGACACTCAATAAACAATAAAGAAAGCACTGAAGGGAAAAAAAGAAGAAAAATGATTCATGTAGTATATAGCTCCATGGAGGAAAATTTACACTGTGGTTCTTTTATTCGAAGATTAGGAAAAGCTCCAATTATGCCACAACTAAAGGGAAATACAGAGGCTCAAACCATTGCAGCAAGGTTTCTGTAATAATAGAGGTAGGCATGGAGAGACATTGACAGGACTTAAAGTTAACAATGGGCCAGGGGTGGTAGTACACCCCTGTAATCCAGGTTTCTGGAAGCTGAGGAAGGAGGATCACTGCAGGTTCGAGGCCAGTCTGGGCTACAAGTGACCGCAAGGCCAACCTGAACTGCACAGTGAAACAGTGTCTCAAAAAAAAAAAAAAAAAAAAAAGAAAGAAAGAAAAGAAAAAGAAAATTAAATTTTAAAAAAGTATATCTCAGGAGAAAAAGAGAGCAACTAAGCATAATTACTTTTTATTTTTACTAGAGAAGGAACATCACAAGATGTTGTCATAAACCATTTCAAACTTACCTTAGTGTCCATGTCATCTTTTTGCTGATGTAATATTCTAAGTCAGGGTAGAGGAAGCCAGGAAGGAATGGACAAGAAAATCGATCATGTCAGTAAAATGTTCATCATACCTGCTTCCAACCTAGTTTACTGTGTCTGTTATCATTTGTGCCCTCTCTTAGTAACTCCAAGTTAATTCTTCCCTGCAACCCCATTTGAGTCCCACAGAAGTGCGTACAAGCTCTTCAGTATTTCATTTTTATTACTATTGGGTACATCCCCCCACATATCCAGACTTGTTATAAAGACATTTTTAAATTGTCTTGATTTCAGACAATGGGAAATTCAGTTTTCCTAATTGGCTGCTGAAAATCAGGCTTAAACCCAAGTTTGTCTCAGGCCAACTGAGACAGAAGGCAGCCTGTTAAAGTTTATACCTCTCATAATTTAGATCTTTCAGACTTTTGTTAAATTTTTATATTCAAGGTAATCTCTCCACTGAAAAGGAAGATAAAGACTATTTTGGTTAAAGAATGGAGCATATCTGAGGTACTTTACCCAATTTCTAAATAATCTTTACATGACTGAATGAATTTTTAATATAGTAATTAGATGAAATTGTCCTCAAACTTGACAAGCATTCTTAGCTTTCTGATTTTTGACCAGACACATGAAATAGATCAGCAAGGAGTTCATATACTGTGTCTTACAAAAAGGTGACTCAGGTTCTTTCATTGGAAGTCGAGAAATACACCTACAAACACACACACACACACACACACACACACCCATTTGGCATTCATCCTAGGATGGCTGTCTCTCAGAGACCTAAATTGTAGTGCTAATATTATTTTTACAGGGTCCCCTCCAATATTTCATTTGCCTCTTCTACCAAATAGGTGTTCTAATATTTCAACATAGCACCCCTGGAGACAAAAATTAGACCTTAAGGGGAAAAGAAAACATATCTCATGTATCACAATGGTTTTTTACCTATCACAGTCCAAACCTGCCCAACAATTTCTTTCTTAATATCTAATTCCTTTTCAGGTAATTTAAATTTAATTTTTCTCTGTATAACGGCAGGAATTAAACAATAAAAGAAAAGTACAAGAAACGAAGGTATTTAGTAAAATCTCTAGAATGTGAGCACTGTAAGATTTAGAGATACCATACATGGCAAAAAGATCTTTTCCAAAATAACAACTCAGGGCTGCTGTGCATTTCCCATACACTGTAAGTCATTCCCCGTATGTTATAGGTACCAGCTCAGCCCCCGAGAAACAGAAGTTACTACCAGGTGCACCTGACAGATGAGATTTGGGGACAAGGAAGGTCATATGGAATGAAAATGGCCTGTCATATGAGATGGAGACCACTTTGAAGCAGCTCTAAGCAGGATTTAAAATTAACTGATTGGTTTTCTACGTTTATCTCTGAGTCTGTTCTAGGCACAGGCCCCTTGTCTGGAGATAGTGCACCTCTATGAGTCACTGGCCCTGGCTGAGACCTGTGAGGCCTGTGATGCCAGAGACACCTCAAAGGGCAAAGAATAGCCCTGAGGACACCTGACTCCAACTCCAACTGACTTTATCTAGACTGCAGCTCCAGGTATCTCACTCCTGCTGTCTCATTCCAACCATCATGTTATCAGGTAGATAAGCAGTTCTCCTAAATTGGCTTAAATTGGCTTAATTTACTACTTGGAGAAGTCTTTGATATGACTCTCAGGGTTTTGCTCAGTTCCTGCACTTTCCTTAGTACTCTCTCTGCTTGAAAACCTAATAAATATCGGTCATCCAGAAAAGCTCTACCTCGGCCCCCAGCATCCTGAACTCTGCTAGAGGGTTTTGATCCTCCTGAAGTCCTAAAATCATGACTTGTCTCATTTATGTAATCCTTTGCCTACACTCATTTGAAAGATTAGGGATCTCTGTCAGGTCCTTGATACACATGGAGTTACAGTGTTTGAGTACAAGTATCTGGTTGTAGAACCCTGCTCTACTCCCTTGAACCACTTTGAAATGACTTACTTTGGATAATAATGACAACCAAAATAATGAACAAAATCGAGCTAAAAACAAGGATTCCAATATAGACTTCTTTGGGGGTCACCTGCTGGTTTGGGGCTGGAAACACCTGGTGAGGAAACATTAACAAGTTAAAAAAGCATCTAGTTAGGGTTAGGAACACAAAACATTTCCTGGAATACATTAACCCCACACAATTACTCCAATGGCCCTCAGCTACTTTTAGACCAAAGGTAAGAACAAATGACATTAAGCTCAGGCAACATGACCTGAGGAAATAAACATATAGAGAAATTCTAAGAATTCAAAATTCAAAACGTATTTTGGGGATAATGGAAATGGTTTTTGTTTTGCTTGAGACAGTATTTTTATAGGTGTATACTGTGGCAAAATCAAAACTATACTTATAAATTGGGCTTGTATGTAATGTACATAAATTACATATATTTTAAACACCAGTAGGTTATTTTTCTAAGGACATCATCTTTATTAAGAATTTTTCTTCCTGAATAAGATGATTTGATTGGCTGTTACTGAAATGTGCTTACTTAGAGGATTTGGTCTTTGATCTAGTACTTGGTTTTCAAAATGTTATATAAATTAGGTGTGCCTGGTATACTAATGGAATTCCAGCATTTTGAGGTAGGAGGACCGCAAGTTCAAATTCAAAATTGGGCAGATTAGCATAGTGAGATTATGACTCAAAAAAAATTTTTTTTTGTCTTTTTCAAGAGAGGGTCTCTCTATGCAGTTCAGGCTGGTCTTGAGCTCACTTTGTAGCCCAGGCTGGTCTCAAACAAATTTAAAAATGCTGGACATATAGTTCAGTGTATATGGAGCTGGGTTCAATCTCCAATACTGCATTCACTCAATCATTCAAAAGATACAAATAAATAAAATACAATACGAGATTCTACCTGTATTATAAAGAATTGGAAATAACTGCTCATAGATATGGCCCTGTTGTCTATGGCCACACCACCCTGAACGTGCCGATCTCCTCTGATCTCGGAAGCTAAGCAGGGTTTGACCTGGTTAGTACTTGGATGGGAGACATGATTGCAGTATAACACTGTAATTCTGTGTAGTGAGATAGGAATGCAGAGTGTGTTCACATCTAGAGCAGATTCTAAGAGATTCCTGGCTCCTACACTAAAACTGAAACATCCCAGGTGTTATCTCAGCCTCCTTTCCATAGCTTAGCTCCAATCCAAAAGAGATCCCATAGAACAAGCATTTTAACTATAAGAAAGTGGAAGATCAGAGAAAAAGACCAAGTTTTTTCTACATAAAAGCTTAATCTCAATTTAGTCACTGTTGCAAGGGACAAGTCCTGAACCCCTCTGAACTTCTGTTTCTGTGGCTACAAACAGCACATTCAATAAGGATGTTCCATGAGATGCATGCAGGTACTTCTCAACCAACCTATGAGGAACAGAAAAGAAAGTAACAATGGATACATCACCCTTGCTTAGCATGGGCACAGCCACTATCTGGGAGGGAAAAGCTGGGTTGCTTTTACCTTACAGTGGGGAGGGAAGAGGAGCACATAGGTGGAGAAAGGGGTCTCAGGAGAAGGCTTTCGTTTTGATTTTTAAATTGTGTCACCCAAACAGGGCGTGTGTATTTCACAGTATGCAACCAAGAATGAGAAAAGCAAAACAAAAACAACCATCCCCTCATATCCATAAACAAGCATTATTGTCCTCTTTGCTGTACATACTCTTCTAGTTTCTCCCTCCACGATCTCTTAAGGGTACATAATTAGCCATTAGAGGCCTCAAAGACAGACGGGGTCAAAACAGCACACTTTTGTTAGAATTAAATGGAGAAACAGATCTCACTGCACGATGCATTTATGATCACTTCTTAGGTCTCAAATAACCCCATCAGGAAACTCACTGCCATAGCCTGGGCATCTTCATGAGGAGAGAGACTAGATTTCCTCAAGAAAGGTATAAGCCTGGTTTCCATTGTTGGAGGCAATGGAAGGGGAAACATTCTTTACAAACTTTTGCTCTGGGCTACTGCCCAATTTAGATTAGGATTTTGCTTTAGCAAATTCCTTTTGTAAGTTTCTTGCATAAGGCCCATGAGAGAGCAGTGAATATCTGAGAAGAACCAGGAACACACTTTTACAATTCCAGAGTAGCCTCTAAGAAAAATGCCCCTAAGCATGACAATCGCCACAGCTTCTTGCATTCAGGGAGTGTCTTGTGTACACAGAGATCTCCAAACTCTGCACTCTCCCTTTATGGGCCGTGTTCTTTCAAGGTGTAAATTTCTCTATATTTGCTTTTCAATAAACTCTGTATATACTTCTGCATGACCATCTATGTGTCTTGGCTCATTTCATTCTTCAAAGACACAAAGGACCAAAAAGTGAGGGCCAGTTTCACATGGCATCAGGACCTCACTTTCCAATGACAATTCTACAAATGCTAAGGTATACACACCATCATTTTCACTTCCTGCTCCATGATGACTCCTTCTCATGTCAGTAAGGGTGGTGCAATAGTACATTCTTACTGGCAATATCTGGTTGTACTTAATTGGCTAAATAATTATCCCTTATTAGTGAGGATTTACCTGTTATAATACCTTCATCTTGAATAGTAGTTAAGAGTATTCTTTCTCATATATCTTCACATATTTGTTCAATTCTCTTCTTAATGTAAAGCTCTAAAAGTTAACCTACTGGGTCAAAGTATGTGCTCTTATTTGCTCATCTCAGTGTGGTAACATCTTCAGACTGAAGGCTCAAAATGCTTATGTTTTGTTATCTACACCTATCATGAACTGACCACTCAACATACCTGTTCTGCAAGTCTCTGAGGTGAAAAATGCCATCACCATTTAGAAGATTTTTTAACCTAAACTTACACTTGCTCAATTAGCAACACAATAAACATTTAAAATACGGCTGTTCTGATATTAGTCAGTGTGTACAAATTAAGTTCCTACCTATCAGCTCAACCAGGGCCTACACTGTAAAATGTTGGGGATGGGGGATAGGGAGCACTGGGAATGGAATCCATGGCCTTTGCACTGATCTACACCTCCAGCCCACTTTTCTTGTAACTTGGAGACAGGTTCTTGCTAAACTGCTCATGGCAAGCTTGAACTCGCAGTCCTCCTGCCTCAATCTCTCATAGTGCCAGCAGATCCTGATATCACTCCTGCAGTGGTATCACTACAGTATACAGCATAGGGTCCATTGGCCCTACACTGAACAGCTCCATCCTAACTGAGCTTTCTGAAATTGTCTTTCAATAGCCAACTTTTTATTAATTCATCTTTAACTTAACTTGCACATATCAAAACAAAGGTAATTTCCCCTGGAGCCAAAAAAAAGTACTGAAAAAATTTTACAATTATCTGTAAATATAACTGCTTATGATTATCATAAGACTCGGGTTCCTTAGCTTTTCCTCAAGCTCACTTTGGAAGAAGTTTAAGAACACTCTATAGAATCACAGTTTTTAAAGACCTTGCTACCATAATCAATAATCATGTGGAGAGGTTCACACACATTGGCTTCAGCATTTCTACACAGAATGGTCATTGAGTAAGAAAAAGATATTGAACCCTGCTCTCATGTAAGAACTCTTTCCCTTACATTCTATTTTTGTTGGGACAGCCCACTCCATCCCATTGACTCAAAGCATGTTGTATCACTAATGATAATTACAGGGCTCCTTGGTATTATGTTAATTTGTTCTTTCTGAATTAACTCATCATTTCTTTCCAATTTTTGTCCATGGAAAGGTCTGTGTAGTGTGTATGTGTGTGCACGCGTGTGCAAACTATTTAGGAAAACATCACTTATTAAGCACCTCTAACAAACTAGTCCACTTAAAGGAACTTTTCAATTTAAAACATTCCACTGAATAGTCAAATTTTTTCTTTCAAATTTTTTTCTTTTTTTAAGGAGGAAAAAAAAAATCAATCCATGGCCTAGTCTTTCAGAAATAGGTTTTACATTCAATTTCTTTCCTGGAAGACTTACAAGTGAATCCTGCTAATAAAATAGGGAGGAATATGCTTACACTTTGATTATGCCAAGGGCCACCTGCAGACTGTGTCACTGTGCCATTCCCATCTGCTCAAAAGAAGAAAAATTAATTAGAATTACAAAAAACTTTGGATTTTCATTGCAGGCACTAAAAGTATTCACACTGGTGAATGAATGAGAGATAGAATAATAATAATATGATAGGGTGCTATAGGAACTGCTAGAGTCACACCAGGGTAGAAACATGTTATTAATTTATCTTATGAACTTGTGCTTCTTAATGTTTTTGTCATCAGCTCTTTGAAAGAGGACACCTTTTTCTCTTCTAGGAAAAATGCATGCATACAAGGTTGCATCTGAAATTTTGGAAGTCAGAGAAGTGTGGTCACGGAACAGGGTTAAGATGTCACTTATATGCCATGTACTATTTTCACTAGAGTATGTGCAGATGCCACACTCACCCCCAAAGATCAGATTCACTCTATTCAGAATGGACTTTCCCTGGCTTTACATTCAGATTGTCAGCAAAATGAATCATATGCAAAACAAATGGCATGTGAGTCTCAGGATATATGCTAAATTATCCAGATTAAGATTCTGAAAAGATTTAGAAAATATGTTACATCAACCACAAGATCACACAGGTATTTTCTGGCACATAAAGATTAGGATTTCATATGGTACAAGAGATACAACCTTAAAGTTTCAAGCATATTGTTAAAGTGTTTTTGAAATATCTATACTGCAACAGAGAACATATAAATATGTCCTTTTAAAAATCTATAGTGCAATTTTTAAATTTTTTTCTTTTGATGCGAATATAATCAAATGAACTGTAACAAGATAGAGTCACAGAGACTCCCCCAAACCCTGAGAGTACAGGCATGTGACCCCACACCCAGCTACACCTTCTTATCATGAAGTGAAAGGCGGCAGGAGGAGAAGGGAGGGATGCTTTCTAAGTATGTGATGAGCTAATGAGGAAACTTCAACAACCTGACCACAGGCCTGCAGCGAGTACGGTAGCTGAACCAGGAGCTGTGCTCCAAAGCAGGTCTCCTGGCCTGGCAATCACAGCACCCACCTGCCTTGGG